CGTGTCAGGGCGCGGCGACCTCCGATCGGCCCGCCGAGCGTGGAGCCGCGGCGCTTACCGTAGCCACGCCGCTCGGAAGCGGCCAGGGGACGCGCAGACACTCGAAGGGGTAGCGCCGCCGCCGGAGCCCGAAGAGCTACAGCCCCGCCGCCGGCGGCGCGCTGCCTCCACCCTCGCGCCGCCGGCACCGCGCTCCGCCTCCCGGGCCGCCCCGCCCCTCTCTCCTCCTCCGCTGTGCACGGAGGCTGCGCCGCGGCCGGCAAGGCTCGGAGGCGGGGCGAGAGGGGCGAGAGGGGCGGGGCCGACGCCGGCGTGAGCCGAAAACTGACTTGTCTGCCGACCTATAGGACTAAGAGGCGGGTCCCGTGGGCGTGGTCATTGCCGCTCTCTTGTCGAACCAGAAAGGAGGACGGTCGGTTACTGGCGGCCAAATGGACCAATGACCAAGGAGAAGGGGGCCTATGCCCGCCGATCGGCGTCCGCTTCGCTCTCCCGGATAGGCCGAGGAAGGCGGGAACAGCCCCGGATGTAGGCGGAGCCTTGAGGCGCGGAGGACCTCCGCTGCGACGGTTTGGAGAGGCGGAACTGATTCTTCTCCTTAGCTATCATGTGAGGAACTAAGAATTTAATGGGGGGAAAAGCGTGGGAGAGGGCTAGGATCCAAGCTGGCGGATTTCCCGACCTTTGCCGCCGTCTCGGCTCTCCCGCCGACCGCGGTACCAGGTGAGTCCGGAGCTCGGCCCTTGCATTCCCGGTGCCGCGGGCACCGGGTGCCTGGGTGACCCTCACTCCATCACGCTGCGGCCCCGCGAGCGCGCGGGCGGGTGACATAACGGCTGCGGGGGCGCATCTTGCGAAACCCGCGTTAAGTTCCGCCGTGGGTGCGGAAGGGTCAGGCCAGCCCGGCGAAGGCTCCGTGGGCATTTGCCCGCGAAGGTAGTCCAGCAGCATCCTGACGTTCCGGGGCACAGGAGCCCTCAAGGCAGTCAGGGTAAGCAGCGAATTGCGAGCTCATTAAGCAGAACTGTGTCTGAGTAAGGAGAGTTCCTTTACGAGGGTGTTGACGGTAGCAGAAGAAGAGAAACGGAATGGCCTGGGAAGGACCTTGGACGAGTTCATCACACAGGCCGCTAGATGCTGACGGTAGGAGAGGCCTGCAGATTTCCAGGTGGGAAGCAACCCTGACGGTTTCAACAAAGGATCCGGAGCCGTACTGACAAAAAAAAAAAAAAAAAAAAAAAAAAAAAAC